CCAGCCTCCACCCCACACCACGCGGCTAGGGGTTTCCCAGCGGAGCTGCCGCACCTGCCCTGTAGGTGACCCTGGCAAGTCCCCCCATGGAGGCTTCTAGGCCCCTCCCTTGCTGGGCGGAGCCGACAGGTCCCTGCTGGAGCCAGGGACAGCTGGTCCTTGTGAGGGACACAGAGCATCCAGGGCCCCGAGGGTCTGCATGGGTGGGGACAGAGATGGCTAAGATAGATTCGATGCAACTTTTTTTCTTTTCAAAGGTGGCAACGTTGGAAAATAAAATGCGAAGGAAATAAAGAAGAGAAAAAAAGCGTCCATCAATCCGCCGATATCTGAATGCTATGGCTGTGCATATTTTGAGATATTTCCAGGCTTGGAGAATGTGGGAAAAGCGCACCCTCTTATGTTTTGGGGGAAATGCAAAGTGATATAACATTTGTAGAAGCAATCTGGCAACATCTATTAAAAAATTTTAAAAAATATGTACTCCCATCAGCCCAGCAATTTCACTCCTGGGAATGTAGCCCATGGAAATAAAAGCTCCATTAGGTAAAGATGTAAGTACAAAGAAGTTTATTGCAGCATTATTTGAGTGGTGTTTGTGCATCCACGCAGGTACTTACACACACACACACACACACACACACACAGACACACACACACATACACACACAGAGGCAAAATGATGTATGCCCACTAGTCAGGAGAACTGCTGAACAGAGGTGGGTACATAAACCACAGACTATTATGTAGCCATTAAAAAGAATGAATTAGTACACGATGGTTGAACAGGGCTAGAGATGCTGAGAGGGAAAAGTGAGATGCTGAGAGATGTGGGTAACGCGATCCACATTTGGAAAACATTAACACAAGACCTGCTGCCTCTGTGTGTGCCTACGCACACGTAGCCATAGTCTCCTACATGTTTGCACTGGTGTGTGCACAAACATGGAAGGACTCATAATAAGTGAGCACGGGTATCCGGGGGGGTGGAGGGCATGAAGGGTGGTCTCAAAGGTGGGACAGGAAAGAGAGAAGACATTCATAGGAGAAAGACAAGACTACTTATTGCCTGGCAATCTTTCCCCAGCCCAGCTATGTGATCTGTGCTTCCCAGGCCACACAGCCTGCAACCCCGTGTCCACAGCAACTTCTCATCGGCCCTCTCGCACCTGCAGTCCTGCTTTTAGGTGTCCCCTCCGCCCCAGAGTCTGTCCAGCCCACAGCTGGGTACCACTGGTCAGCTGGCCCTTGTTTCCAAAGCCTCTACTGCCTGCCAGTCCACTGTTGACAAGCACAGCACTGTCCCTGCAGTCCCCAAAGAAGTGTGGCCCAGGAAGTCGCTGAGCTGTAGGATCTGTGCCCAGGCTGTTCCTGTTCCTCCTCCCAGCTCTGGGGCTGTGCTCAACAAGTGGCGTCAACGAAGACAGACAGACAGACAGAAAGACAGAATGAGCTTAATGGAAGAATTAGGGGGAAGCCAGACAAAAAGAGGGTGACACCCTAGCTGTGGCTTCCTATTAGCCTCTTAGCTTAGGGTTGCTCACTCCTAGGGGGCTGAATGAACCTCCAACCCTACCTTCTTCCTTGCCTCTGCTCAAGATTCAGAGTTCCGGAAGAGAGCTGAGCAGAATGATGGGTGCTTGTAATCCCAGCACTTGGGAGGCTGAGGCAGGAGGATCTCAGCGAGTTAGAGAACAGTATGTAATACATAGTGTGACCCTGCCTCAGAACAGAACCAAAAATAAAAGTCCCAGAAAAGAGCCTATGGGTCACGGGTCTGTTCCCCTGCTAAAATAGGGCAGTGAGAGGAAAATCATAGACAAAAGAAACTTAATCCCCTCCGTCTTTCCTAGTGAGCCACAACGCTCCTGTGTTTACTACCAAACAGAGGAAACCCGAGGCTGTGGGTGGCGGGAAGCAGGTGCTGGGCCCGAGTCACACGTCCACCACTCCCTGTTCTGAGGCTAGGGAGATGGGCTGGATTAGTTGTCACCTAAGATTCTTCCAGCTGCAGGTGACAGAAACGGATTCAAGCTAAATTCATCAGGAAAGGAGGCTTTCAGAAGGAAACAGGAGCTTGAGAATTCAAGGCCTAAAGAACACATTAGCATCTAGCTTCTCTCTGGCCTGTCCTTTCCTTTTTTCTTTCTTTCTCTCTCTCTCTCTCTCTTTTTCTTTTTTTTTGTTATGGGGATTGAATTTAGGGATTTAGGACCTTGCAAGGCAGGCAGCAGAAACACTGAGCTAAATCCCCTGCTCCTCTTGCCTGTCTTTCTACTTGACACCAACTCTTTGGGCTCTTGAGTCAGCTTCCCCACTGCCTCTCTGAGGCTCTCTCTCTCTCCCTCTGGACCGACTGTCTGCCCTTCATGCCCAAGGAGTTGGAAATCTTCCAGCCCACAGCTCCTGCATTTACATTTCCACTACTCAAGGAAGTGATAGGCTGTCTGGCAGTCTCCATCTCAATTACAAGTTTCCCCAAGAGAGAACTGGATTGGCTCTGCTTGGATCAGGCGATCCAATCAGCTGAGACCAGTGGCAGGGTCATGGGTATAAAGATAACTGCCAGGACTCTGGGGCTGGGGTGGGAAAACCTGAATTCAAGAGCATCTCTGAAGCCTCAAGAAGTCAGAGATGAAAATATGGGCATCCTGGAACTACCAGGCATGGGACAGAAAGTGAGAGAGACAGGCACACATCCAACAGGGAACCATGGGGCTTTGGACCCTGCCTGGAACCACCAGGGTAGCAAGTCCTGCTCTCTGCACTGAGCAGCTGCACTGGGGCTCGATTTGGAGCTGGGTTTCCGGAACCATGCACACTACCGACAGCTGTGATCAGACTAGAGAAGCAATTTTGAAAAATTAATTTTTACCAATTAATATGTGCACGCAGTTCTAAGAAATCAGATAACTCTAAAAGGTTTCATGCACAAGCAGCCAGCCACCTCCTGCCCTAGGTCTCCTCAGCCCTCCTGTCACTCCCCAGAGGAAAACATCTCAACTCCTTAAGCCACAGCTTCTGTAATCTTTATATGCCTCTAATGCCTTGCTGTGCTGTTTTCCCAAGGATTTAGCTACTTTCCAGGCTCCTACCCCTATTTCTCTTCACATCAACCTATGTTATATCACCGTTTGGATCTGTATTTATATTAGTATGACTATGAAAATACTGTCCCCCCCCTCCTTTTTGTACATCATTTTGTTTTTGTTTTTTGAGACAGGTCTATATAGTTCAGGCTGGTCTTGAACTCACTATGTAGCCCAGGCTGGTCTTGAACTCATGGCCATCCTCCTGCCTCAGCCTCCCAAGTGCTGGGATTACAGGAGTGTGCCAGCACACCCAGTTTGATTTTTATTTCCTTCCTTCCTTCCTTCTTTCTTGCATTTCTCTCTCTCTCTCTCTCTCTCTCTCTCTCTCTCTCTCTCTCTCTCTCTCTCTCTTTCTTTCATACCAAGGGTCAAACTCAGGACCTTACATTTTCAAGGTAGCGACAGAACCAATGAGCTAAATCCCCGGCCCTGATTTTGACTTTTTGATTTTTTTTCCCCCCTGATTTTGATTTTTGAGACAGTCTTGCTATGCAGTTTAGGCTGCCTTTCCTGACTCCCAACCAGACAGCACCAGAAATCCTGGGTCGGACCCACAGAGGTCAGGAAAGGCCTGGTCTGAGGTCAGAGCAAGGTTTGCTCTGTGGGCAGGGACAGCATGGCGATAGTGTCACTAGGCTTTCAGGAACCCAGAACACATGCTCGGAGCCCCTAGGACCTCAGGTCCACAGCATGCAGGCCACTGCAAAGCTGCCACCACCTCCGTTCCTCCCTCAGCCTTCCTCATGCCACCACTGACAGCCATGCCTCGCAGGCGCAGGGTCCTGAGTTCAATCCCTGGTACCAAAATAAACAAGAAAACAAACAAAAAAATACATTGCTTTCCAAAAGTATGAAATAACATAATGGACCCCTGTGCCTGCTATCTCTAGCCTGCAGTTGTACCTCTGTCTTTCTGCTGTCTGGGTTTCTCTGGATGCCCTAGACCCAGGGCATAGCAGTCATCTTCAGCTGGGCCAGTTTCTAAGGTGAGAGCCCCTATTTACTGTGTCTCACAGGTTCTCATTACTTGGTTTACCCTCTTGTTTGGCTGAAGCACATCCTATAGTAACTTCCTAAGAAAAGGTGCTAATTAATCTGAAATGTATTCTGCCATCGCCCTTGACTTGTGATCAGGCTGAGTACAGAATTCTGTGTTGGAAATGCTGTTTCTGCCTGCATTTCTTGGGTTTACTTCTCTTATCTTCTATTTCCTTGGCCCTGTTCGCCGTTGGACACAGTGTAGGACGCTGGAGAGGCTGGGAGGGGTCCCTGGGAGGGTAGCTGCTGCAAATGGTGACATTTAACGAACTGTAGTGCCTTTGGCTCTGCACAACACCATGGATTTTTGCAGACTTGGAGCTTTCAAGTGCAGAGCCGCTCAGAAATTAAGACAAATCCATTGGCTGCTCCTTGGTCTCCCTGCTGCAAGTGCTTGGTGTGGAGCTTTCTCTGTGCTGAGTCATTGCCACTCTGCCCCCAACTGTTCCCAGCCCAGGTAGCTGTTGAAATCTCTTATCTCCTGGTGTCACAGGCCACACTGGGCTTGGGGCTTTATATGTCTCCATTTTACTGCCAATTCGATGAAATGTTGCTAAAAAAGGTCAAAGTGGGTTGGATCCAGCGTGTTCAACTGGACTGCAGCCCTGATCCCTCCCCCCTGTTAAAGCATATGTATTTCCCATAAGTTTTATGGACCTCTCTTTAAATTGTTACAGGATATTTTATACCCCAGCGTTAGATGTGGCATGGTTTACTTAACTAATCCTTTATTGCCAGGCATTTAATCTGCTTTAACTTTTCACATAAGGAGCACCTTTATGTCCCTGGATCTGTCTGGACTTTGGATTGTTCCCTTCCAAAGGGGATGAACCTGCCCTCCGGAGTATTTGTTCTCATTTTACCTGTGGGTGAGAGGAAGGAGGTGCAGTGGCAGCCTCTGGCCTGGTCTTCTGTGGCTGTGCTTGGTACCTTGCTTAAACTTCGCATCTCCTCAGTTTCCCCGGGCACCGAGTTCTGTGGATGCTGACAAAGGTAGACGTTTCCTGCCGAGAAACATCGGCATGATTGTCTTGACCTGTTTTTAAAATATGCTGGGGTGGAGAGAAATGTTGATTCTTTCATTTTTTTTCTCCCTCTCTCCCTCCCTCCCTTTCTTTTTCCTTTTCCTTTTCCTTTTCCTTCATCTTTTCTTTTCTTTTTTTCCCCCCCCAGACAGGGTCTTGCTATATTGTCCCAGATGATCTCAAAATCCTGCACTCAAGCGATGTATGAGGTTAAAAAGTATGGGGAAAAGAAAAAGAGCTTTTAAAAAGTTATTTGAAAAACTAGCATGAGGCCCGAGCAGCCGTGTTGGTCAGAAAGAGTAAACAAAGCGAGTCTGGCTTCCCCCTCTCATACCTGAGAGGAATTCAGACTGCCTTCCGGTCTCTGCTTATAAATCCTTGTGGAAGCTGGGTGTGGTTTCCCACACATGTAACCCCAGACCTCTGGAGGCTGAGGCAGGAGGTTCGCTGAGAGTTTGAAGCCAGCCTGGGCTCCATAATGAGTTCAAGGCCAGTCTGAACTGCATAGAAAGACCCTGTCTCGGAAAAACAGAACAACGACAAGAACACGACTTGTGTATCTCTAGAGCGGAGGAAGGTGAGGCCGTCCCTTCTGCATCTCTGTACAGAGGAGACAGAACTCAGAGCAGGGAAGGAGCTGGCGCAGGGCTACACAGCATCAGGACTGGCCGGAAGGGGCCCGGTGCGGTGCTCCCCAGGTGAGGGTGCACCCCCAGAGTTGGACATGGCTGTCTGTGGTGGCATGAGGAAGGCTGAGGGAGGAACAGAGGTGGCGGCGGCTTTGCAGTGGCCTGCATGCTGTGGACCTGAGGTCCTAGGGGCTCCGAGTGTGTGTTCTGGGTTCCTGAAAGCCTGGTGACACTATCGCCATGCTGTCCCTGCCCACGGAGCAAACCTTGCTCTGACCTCAGACCAGGTCTTTCCTGACCTCTGTGGGTCCGACCCAGCACTTCTGGTGCTGTCTGGTTGGGAGTCAGGATGGACCTGCCAGAGCCAGCCTTGGGTGGGGTCGCTGTCCCCAGAGTCTGGTGCTCCTTGCAGGCCCCTGTGCTTCCCTTTCAAGTTGCAGCAGCAGGCGCCCATCTTGATGCCACCACTGACTCCAGGGGCCTTCAGCCTCAGAGCCTCCTCACCAGTGCTAGGGAAGACCAGAGGCACTTTTCTGTTCATTTGTTTCTTGACACAGGGTCCGGCTATGTAATTCAGGCTGGCTTTGAACTCACTGTGGAGCCCAGGCTGGCCTCCAATTCCTGGCGATCCTCTTGCTTCAGCCTCCCAAGTGCTGCCATTACCAGTGTGTGCCACCATGCCTGATTCATGAACCACATTTGACAACAGAAACCAGAGATCATCTCAGCATTGTGCGGACTTAGGTGAGACTCTGTGCACCAATGCCTGGCTCGGAGAAATAGTGGGGTGCTCTCTAGAACCAGGGCTGAGGGCTAGAGGAAAGTCAGCGGACTCAATCTGAGCGCCTCCCACCTGCTAGGTTCTTCATGGGCCACGCTGTTTCAACCTCTCCCATCCCCAGGAAGGGTTGGCAGGATTATCGTCATCTTCCAGTTGAGGACAGGAGGCAGAGACACTAAATAAATGTCCCTGAGTCACACAGGTAGTTGGGGGCCAGGCTGGGACTGGGATCCAGATGTTTCTGACTCTGTAGGTCACAAGTTTGTCCCAAAGCACTGCACTTTCTGAGTCTTAGGAGTTGAAGACTTACTGGTCTTTCCCCAGATGTAATATTTGGAAAATAAAGGTTATGACCAGTTCTTCCTGGTGACCTCACAACCTTGGACATGTGCTGTTTGGTTCCAGCTCCTGGAATAATAGGCTTCAGCACAGCATTCTGTGAAGGATGCTTGGCTCTATTTTAGAGATGAGGACACCGTGGCTCAGAGCTGTTCAGGGATCTGCCTGTAGTCACACAGCAGGGAGTCAAGTCTCAAATCCGCAGGGTTCCAAGAGCTGCGGGTGCTGCTTCCAGGCTGCGGTCTATGGGGAGGGCTGCAGCCCATCCCGGCCTCACCTCCCGTCCTGCCCACACCTTCCCTGCCTACATCTTGTCACTGGGACCACGGCGGTCTGCAGTGACCCCTGCAGAAAGCCCCTCCACGCCCACGACACTGCGCTCCCAGGCAGGGGCCCTCCTTGCTCAAAATAGCTCTGTGTTATTAGCCGCATTTAATTGAAGGTGTTTCGAGGGCAGCCTCCACCGGGCCCAAACCAAATGGAAAATGACACACTGTCAAATTAATGTCCCCAGACCGTGATAAATGGCCGGGCTTGGTGAGTAATCTTCCATTTCTTGTCTTGAAGGAGAAGGATGCAGCCAGGCCCGAGTGGCTGTCCTGTCACGTGGGAAAGGTCAGGGCCAGCCTCAGGATAAAGGGCCACCCGGGGTTCCAAGGAGCTGCATGCTCTCTCCCTTCCTGTCTCTGGAGGCTGCTGACAGGGCTGCAGCCTCCAGGCCCGGGTCCAGGGAGGAAGGCCAGGGAGATAAGACTAATCCTTCACCGACTGCCTGGGCTTTTTACGCCCAGCCCAGCGCTCCTGCAGCCCCTCTGTTATCCTGTGATTAGTCGGCATTCAAGGCCCCCTCCTGAGCTCCAGCTGCACCCTCTGACCTTGGCCTCAGCCCTGTGCTCTGTGACCTCTCGGGCAGCGTAGGACACATGGCTAGGTGCCTGCTTTGTGCTTGGCCCTGCCCTGGAAGATACAGGGCCTGGCATGGCTAGAGTTGGCCAGGCTGTCCCGGGAAGGCTTCGGGGTCTCCTGCTGCGTGCCATAGCTGACTTCCCAGCCCAGAACCATCCCACGAGGCCTGGAGCAAGACAGAAACAGGGCTGCTTCAGGACTGTGCCTGCGAATGGATAGATACGGGGACGGCGGCCAGGTGAGAGGGGTCACCACTCATCCTGGATCCCTGCTGATACTGGCCTGCTCCTCCCTACCATGAGCCTCCCAGGCAGAGGCAGGGAGACACCGGGGCGCAGGGTGACCCCCTTCGCTTCCTGCCAGCACCCACTCCTGAGCAGTTCTGTTTCCGGGGGTCTTCCCGGACTGGTATCCCACCCTTCCCCTGTGACAATGACTAAAAGGCATAAAGGAAATTAGAGCAGCTGCTCCGGCTGGCGCAGGGTGGAGAGGGGCATAGCCTCATCTTGTCCATCCAGAGTCTGTCTGTCCCTCCCTCTGCTCTGTGGGCCCACTCCCTCACCTGGTGCCAGAACCAGTATTGAGGTGGCTCTCCCAGCTCCATTATGGCCAAGTCCCTGCCCCTGAGAACGGATTGTCAGTTCCCCATGATGCATTGCAGGAAATTGGATGTCAGGCCAATAAATGCCTCCGATTAGATGTTTGACATCAGGCAAAGCCATTTGAAAGGCATTTGATTGAAGTGCCAAGAGGGAGCACGGCAGTCTCTGAGCCGAGCTGCCCTTTGCTTGGTCTAAATAGGGTGCTGCCTCTCACTGGAGAGGGCCCCCTTCCTCCAGGGCAGTAGGCTGATGTTGGTCACCAAGTCCCAGCCACTGCTTGTCCTGGGGGGTGGAGTGGAAATCAGCTGCATCAGGAGGCTTCTTTCTTTTTTAAAAAAATCATCATCATTATTATTGTTGTTGTTTTTTGAGAAAGAGTCTGTCTAGTCTAGGCTGGCCTGGAATTCTCAGTGATCCTCCTGCCTCAGCCTCCCCAGTTTACAGGCATGAGCTATGACGCTCAGCTGAAAGGCTGTACTACTGTGCATTCCAAAACATATCTCTCTGCCCAATGTTTGGGTCCCACCCCGCCGCCTTCTTCTCCCCTTTCTTCTTTCAGTACTGGGGAATTGAACCCAGGGCCTGTGCACCGAGCTACATGCCCAGACCTTTTTTATCTTTATTTCTCGAGAAAGGGTCTTGCTAAGTCCCTGAGCTGCCCAGGCTGGCCTTGAACAGGCAGTCCTCCTGCCTCAGCTTCTTAGACGCTGAGATCACAGGCACGAGTCACCACACCCAGCTTTCTTGCATTTCTTAACCTCTCCCTCACTTGGCTCCACCCAGGGTCTTCAGCTCTTCGAAATGGACAGGTGCTAGGAGGTCCCCACCCTGTGACAGTGTCCCGCACCATTGTGCTCCCGGCCAAGGGCCTCGGCGTGAACGTGGGACACACTCTAAGGGATCTCAGCGCTCTCAGCCCTTATTTTCTTCATCCACAAAATGCAGATGGAAGACATTGCCTCTCTGCACCACCATGAGGACAGAGGAGCAGGACTCAGGGGGGACCTCGAGGGCAGGGGTATCAGCTGCCCAGTGTGAGTGGCTGGGGGAACCACAGAGCCCAGTGTCCAATAGAAACCCAATAAATGCTCACTGCTAGCTGTTCGTGGTGGCACACACTGGTAATCCTAGCACTTGGGAGGCTGAGGCAGGTGGATTGCCACATGTTAGAGGCCGGCTTGGATACATGGAGAGAACTTGTCTCAAAAAAAATGTTCATTGCCCACACAGAGAGGTGTGCAGAGTAGACTTATGCAGAAGTCGCAAGGCTCAGTGGCGGTCAGGTCTGAACACCAGGGGACAATGGAGGAAGAGCTACTGCCAGGCCAGAGCCAGGCAGCAGGTGGGGGACATTTCTAAGAATCTCGGAGGAGAGGGAGGAGGGTGGGGTTTGGCATCCAGCAGACCTGGGTTGAATCCTAGTGCTGCCCATCACTTGCTGTGATGATGAGGGAGTTGCGTGGCCTGTCTTCTGGTTGAGGATGGCCCGCGGCTTCCTTGCCCTGACTGAGATGAGGGCCCTTGGGCAGGCAGTGGCAGGAACCCGGGAGGACTCCTGGGAGGAGGCCTCTGTCGCTGTTCCAGAGCAAGCAGTGTGGGGCGGCAGGGCTCCTCCTTGGGAGGGCTTCTCCAAGTCCCTGTGCAGCTGGCAGACCTGGCCCACCAGTCTGTCTCTAACCGTAGCCTCCTATTTCTCCAGCTGGTGCCTCCTCCAGGGCCGCCCCTGCCTGGCCGGGCTCTGCTTCTGGCTCCTTCAGGCTTCCCCGGGCCCTGGCAACCCAATGCCTCTGTTCCTTGCTTCCCACCTCACCCCCTCCCAGGCAGGAGGACAGATGGGTCTCTTGGGTGCTGTCCCCAGCAAGAGTCACTGAGCACATGAGTTCCACCCAGGCGCCGTCAGAGTTCATGCCAAGATTGTGCTAGCCTGAGAGCTTCAAGTATAAGAGCTTCCTGCCACGCTGATGCTGTAATTCCAGCACCCTGAGAGGCTGAGGCAGGAGAATCACGAGTTCCAGCGCACTCCTCATCACTTAAGCAATTTAGCAAGACCCTGTCTCAAAATTAGAAATACAAAATGGGGGTTTTCAGTCCCTAATGCACACATACATACTTACACGCAAAGGCTTCTAGACTGGACAACAGTAGGGCATCTGTTTTTTTTTTTCTTTTCTTTCCTATGCCCCATGTTCTTTCTTTCTGAGTCTGATTATGTTACCCAGGTTGGGCTCAAGTGATCCTTCTGCCTTAGCCTCCTGAGGAGCTGGGACTACAGGTGTGTACTACTGTGACACCTGTGTTGTAGCTTTTAGGGAACTAACCTCACCTCTCTGCACTTCATTTTCCTCCTTAAAAGACGTGGACATAATCTAGGTCCCCTCTTCTGGACGAACCCCTTTCTGCCCACCAGCCCCTGGTACGGAGGGTGCCCAGCCCAAATCCTACCTGGCTGCAGGGGTTGCTAGCCGTGGGCAGCCAGGGACTTTCCCGAGGTCTCCAGTCCTGCGTGGGAAGTCCTGAGACTCCCCCAGGCCAAGCTTGAGGGCACTTGGTGAGGATAGCAGGTGTCCATCCTAGGACAGAAGGCGGCACCCTGTGAACGACAGAGAGACGCAGGAGGACCACACAGTGCTCCTGTGAGGAACGCAGCAAGTCTGTGCTGAGGGCCTGGGAGCAGCCCACGAGGAGCTGGGGGGCCCCTGTCCTCCAGAGTGGCCTCCCACGCAGCCTCCCAGAGGGGCGTGGCTGTGACAGCCCCAGCCCCCACTTTCCAGGCTGTGCAGGGAGCTCTGGGTGAGGGTGATGGAAAAAGAGAGGCTGGTAATGAGCCGCAGAGGATGCTGGGAAACTCTCCTGCTCCTCCTGGGGTTTGGGTTGATTAGGAAGCCGCCCCGGGGGCCCCTCCTCGGCTCAGTAACGCACTTTCCACTGGGTGGTTTGCACATCCGCCAGGGCTCTGGGGGCCATGCCG